GTTTTAGTTTAGTTTCATTTCGAATTTGTTGTTTGTTGGATGATTTTGGGGTTAAGGGTCTTTTTTTGTGGTTTGGCTCATTTTCCATCTTTTTATTTTTTTTTAAGTCAGTTGGCTTGTTGCTAATGCTATTAACTCTAGTTTTTTGTTTATTCAAAAATTTTACAAATTTTTCGCTGCTCTTTCGTGTTTTTTGGACTTACAAAGTGTTTTCAGACAAGTTTCAGCTAATTTACGAAAAATAAATGAGGTTGAGAAAATCAGGCTTTTTTCTACACTACAATTTTAGGGTTGGGCGTCAAATACTCAATTTCTGTTTTTTAATATAGCTTTTAGTCAATTCCCATCTTGTGAATGGTTTAATTCGTAACAGTTTGTTTTATTTCCGTTTATTTTCGACTATTTGGTTATTTTGTTGTTTTTGAACCAGGGGATATTTTTGGGGTTGGGCATTTTTTGGGCTGTTTTCTTCTTATTTTTCAACTTTTAGTCATTTTCCTTGTTGAAAACTTTGTAAATTCTATTTTTTATTTTGTGTTTGCTCAACGAAGTAAGAACCTTGCTAGTGGGTTTTGGTGTTTTCGGGATTTTAGTAGGGGTTTTCAGACGAATTTCAGTTTTTTTTCCAAAAAAGTAGACCCTTGTCACTCTTTGGTGTTCTCAAGTTCCAAAAAGTAAAATGAGGTATGTCACTTTTTGGTGTCACTTTTTAACATTATAAAATTGACCAAAAAATGACTTAATATGTTGTCCCTTTTTGGCTACATAAATTTCCCTGCCCATGTCACTTTCTGCAGACCAAGTAGCCTTAAAGTGACCGGGATAGGACCCTAATTTGACATCCTATATTCTTTGGTCTTTGAGTTTGTTTCAATACTTATATTTCCGATCAAAGTAATGAAGTAACTTCAATGTTCAGAAGCAATTTTAATTGCAGTGGGACCCACTTATTATGTTTTACGGATTAGTTTTTAAACAGATTTTACGTATTTCGGATTTTGCTATATTGGGCTCTAACGGAGGTTCAGGTTCTTTTTTGTTGCTTTCCTGTTTCTAGAATTCTGTATCGTGTTGCAATTTTAGGCTGAATATGTGCTCTTCTCAAGACTTTTAACTTGAAAAAATGGATCGATTCAGCAGGTTTTCTAGATTGTTCAGAATACATACCAGAGGATTCTTGCTGATTTTAAAATATATGGCAGTGAAAATTAAACTTTGGTTTAATATTTAGTCTGAAATTATTCTCAACGCTAAGTTTTTTTAGAAATCAAACACGTTTCACGTCTACCCATTGGTAAGAGCTTTCCAGTGAGCACTTATTTGCTATAATGCGATTTCTGGAACTTGAGAAATTCGAATTCGAAGGTGAAATTTTTGGGCCTGGGGCCATTTTGGCTCCTTTTTGATTTTCCCATCATCCATTTGACTTATCTTGATGAAATTATGCATGTGAACTCTTCGTGAGTTGTATAGTATACCTTCATAAAGCAAAAATTGAAAAAAAAAAATTGGGTCATTTTTCGATCTTCATTGTTCCATTCAATCTGGACATGACACCAGTTAAACGGGTCCTCATATATGTCTATTACACTTTAGAAGGGTATCAGATAAAAATATTGCATGAAAACATATTTTGCTTACTTTTTTTTGAAAAGTTGAATTTTGGCGAAGAAATAGCCTTTGGTCTGCGGTAATACTTACATGATTTTTATTTGTGTTCCACGTTTGTTGCACTAAAGAGGGCTTTCCAATGACGGCTTGTTCATCGCAATGCAGTTTTTATAAGTTGAGTAAATTGAAATTGAGTTAATTTTTTTTGTTCTAGGTTAGGGCTTTTTTACTCAATTTTGATTTTCTCGCAATTTGTTAGGTTTATAAAGCTAAAATTGTGTGAGAGAACGCTTCATAGAGTTTATAGAATATCCTCAAACAGTAAAACAAGTTTAGAAATTTTGAAAAAAGTTTTAGTCCTTCCACGATCTTCACTTTGGGAGTGAACACTGGATACTCTCTAACATGTCGCTCAATGAGATTAAACTTCACGGACGGATTTAATCTGATCATCAAACCTATGAAAAACGATCCCTGTAGGTATCTAACGCACTTTAGAAAAGTAACAGATAAAATTTAAGCTTGAAACTATTTGTGACTAAAGCAAATATGATGAATTTTGACCAGAAAATAGAAAATTTTCAAAAAAAAAATCGAACTTTGGCGAAAATATAGCCTCCTTAGGTTATTTAAAAAACAATTTACCTAAATGTTTTTTTCTTTTCCACGTCTATCAATAAAAAAAGCTATCCAAGGGCTCCTTGTTCACCATAATGCACTTCTTAAAAGTTGAGTGAATTGATGTTAGCAGATTTTCATTTTTATCGAGGTTAAGGCTTTTCTAAATCAATTTTGATTTTCTCATCACCCATTTGACATACAATGATGAAATAATGATGAAATAATTTAATGATGAATTGTGCATGTTAACTCCTCATAGACTGTTTAAAACAACCTCCCTGAGAAAAAATGTGCAGAAAATTGTTTTGGCTCCCTTTATGATCTTCAGTTTCGGAGAGAATACTGATACACTCAAACATATCGTTCAATGAGATGAAACTTCAATGACAGCATTTTTCTAGTTAAGAAACCACTATAAAATGAACGTTTCATGTGTCTGATACATTTTTGTACAACTCTCAGATAATATTTTGGCCGGAGAACAATTTTTAGCTAAGTTAAGATAGACGAAGTTTTAAAAAACTATTTTTTCCCTTTAAATCAAATTTTGGCTAGAAATTTGCTTCTGGTGTGCTGCAAAAATGCACGTTTCTAAGTTGTTCTGATGATGACCGTTTCATAGTTGGAAAAAGCTTTTTAACGACGCTTTTGTTGCTATAATACGGTTGTTACAAGATGAAAAATTCAAAATTGAGCCGGAGGAGTGTTTTCGGTGTAATGATTTTATTACATTAAGGTTTTTTTTATCAACCATTGGAAACAAAAAATTGAAATTGTGTATGTACACTCTCCATAGTGTCTAAAACATATTCTGAATGTTTTTTGTTTGATTAAAAAATAATTTGGGTCTTTTTAACAGATTTAATTTTCGCAAGAACATTGATAGTTTCGAATATGTCAATCAACGAGAGGAAACTTCACTGAAGCATCAATCTGGATATAAAATCATTCAATCTGAACACAATTTAGGCCTGATAAAAGTTGGAGAATATTTCGACAAGTTTTTAGCTGGAAAACCGTCCGTGGCTCAACCAAGTGATGGTAAGTTCGAAAAAATCTGAAACGTATGAAAAATCCATTTTTCAAAATAAATTTTTCGCCTCTCAAATTCAGCACCTGCTAAAAAAATTTGAATTAATTTTCATTGCTAATAAGTGAAATCCTCTTAGGTGTATCTCTCACCTTTGGTTTGAGATGCTTGTGTTGATTTTAAGCTTGCTTTTGTTTTGTTCGAGTTGACACTTTGGAGGATTTTTTTTTTCAATTTTAGGTTTTAGGGTTCAAATATTATTTTTTTAGTTCTCTTAAAAATGTTAAGTCGGTTCATCTCTTGAAAGAAGGTTTAACCGTAACATTATGGTATAATTTAGCTTCATTTCGAATTTGTTGTTTTTTGGATGATTTTGGGGTTAGGGGTCTTTTTTGTGGTTTGGCTCATTATCCATCTTCTTATTTGTTTTAAGTCAGTTTGCTTGTTGCTAATGCTATTAACTCTAGTTTTTTGTGTTTATTCAAAAATTTTACAAATTTTTTGCTGCTCTTTCGTGTTTTTTGGACTTACAAAGTGTTTTCAGATAAGTTTCAGCTAATTTCCGAAAAATAAACGAGGGTGAGAAAATCAGGCTTTTTTCTACACTCCAACTTTAGGGTTGGGCGTCAAATACTCAATTTCTGTTTTTTAATATAGCTTTTAGTCAATTCCCATCTTGAGAATGGTTTAATTCGTAACAGTTTGTTTTATTTCAGTTTATTTTCGACTATTTGGTTATTTTGTTGTTTTTGAACCAGGGGATATTTTTGAGGTTGGACATTTTTTGGGCTGTTTTCCTCTTATTTTTCAACTTTTAGTCATTTTCCTTGTTGAAAACTTTGTAAATTCTAGTTTTTATTTTGTGTTTGCTCAATGAAGTAAGAACCTTGCTAGTGGTTTTTGGTGTTTTCGGGATTTTAGTAGGGGTTTTCAGACGAATTTCAGTATTTTTCCAAAAAAAGTAGACCCTTGTCAATCTTTGGTGTTCTCCTCAAGTTCCAAAAAGTGAAATGGGGTATGTCACTTTTTGGTGTCACTTTTTAACATCATAAAATTGACCAAAAAATGACTTAATACGTTGTCCCTTTTTGGCTACATAAATTTTCCTGCTCATGTCACTTTCTGCAGACCACGTAGCCTAAAAGTGACCGGGCTAGGACCCTAATTTGACATCCTATATTCTTTGGCCTTTGAGTTTGTTTCAGTACTTAGTTTTCCGATTAAAGCAATAAAGTAACTCCAATGTTCAGAAGCAGTCTTAATTGCAGTGGGACCCGCTTATTATGTTTTACGGATTAGTTTTTAAACAGATTTTACGTATTTCGGATTTTGCTTTATTGGGCTCTAACGGAGGTTCAGGTTCTTTTTTATTGCGTTCCTGTTTCTAGAATTCTGTATCGGGTTGCAATTTTAGGCGGAATATGTGCTATTCTTAAGACTTTTAACTGGGAAAAATGGATCTATTCAGCAGGTTTTCTAGATTGTTCAGAATACATACCAGAGGATTCTTGCTGATTTTAAAATATATGTTGCTGTCTGTATATAAAGTGTTAATGGCCCTGTTGGAGGCCGAAAGGTGTTCAGTTTTTCAGATATTAACGTTAGTAACTGACCAAATTATTTGGGTACGTTTAAGAAGTTTTTTATCCCCTCCAATCCTTCAAAATACGTATAAAATGATTCGAGATGATTTCATTCAAATGCTAATTCATGTAACGAAACGTTTGTTTTGTTTCAGAGAAACGACTCACAATGACGTAGGATTTATACAAGAAGAGATGCCAGGTAGGATAAACTATATAAGACCAAATCACTGGTTTGCTGTTTCAATGAAAGTTGTGAATACACTTATGTACGTCGTGATGATTTTCACTAGTTCAGCTCCTATCTATCTATCTATCTATCTATCTATCTATCTATCTCTCTATCTATCTATCTATCCCTACTATATGTAAATGCGTGTGACAGCTATCTCCCATGGTTAAGCATAAAAATTTTGCATGTTTAACAAAAGAGTTTTTTTCATGTTTAAGCTATATCATATATTGCCATGCTGAAGAAAATTTTTCAATTAGTTTTCAGCAAGGTCATTAATTTTTCAGTAAGTTTTTTTCGACGTCAATTTAAGTCTGTATACATGCTTTTTCATTTAATTGGACTGTGTCTATTTACCCGTCTCCTATTTTTTTAACTTTCAATTTGGTTTCGATGATTCAGTTCAAAATAGTACTACGGTCAAACGGTTGTCTCCACTCTTTCTGTCTCTTTATCTTGATTTTCTATCTTATTTTTCCGTCTTCTTGTAATTCTTCTTTTTCGATATTTTTTCTATCTTTTTTTTTCAATTCTCTTTTTCGATCTTTTTTAATTTTTTTTTTCTGTCTTTTTTCTATACTTCTTTTTTGATCTTTTTTTCGATCCTTCTTTTTCGATCTTTTTTCTCTCTTTTTTTTCTTCTTTTTCGATCCTTGAGTAAACTACCTTGTCATATTTAAGCTTCTTCAATGTATTATTGTTGCATGTTTAACGAAATAGTTTGTTCACGTTCAAACTATATCGCACATTGGAATGGTTGGAAATTTTTTTTTTTCGATTTTTCAGTTTGATGTCAAGGATTATTTTATCATTTTTGAAATAAGCAAACTTGAATTTGAAAAATTTCACAAAGTTTGATAATCTCTACCCTGTAGTTTGGTGCTGTCAGAGTACTCCCAGGTATTGCGAATTCTGCCTCCAAAGCTCACTTCTGAAATCCTTGTAGATTTCGATATTTGACGTTTTTTTATGATTGTTTTTCAAAAGTTTTTAGAAAATCTGAGACAGCACGATGGAGATTTTGTAGATCTCTATCGTGTAGTTGGAATTTCTAAGAGTACCCCCACGGGTTGCGAATCTTGCCTCTATGACTGCTCAAATTCTTATAGTTTTCGAGATATGACGTTTTTTAGGATTTTTTCAAAAAATTTCCAAGAAAACGTAAATTTAATTTTTTTTTCTTCAAATTTTGAAATGTCCATTTTTGTAGTGAGCGCTATCAGAATACTCTCAGGGCTAACAAATCTTGCCGCCAAATGTGACCGGTCAAATCTTTGTATTTTTGAGATATGACGTTTTATCGTTTTTTTTAAATTTTTTTTACAGAAAACGTAAATTGGAGTTTTTTTCGAAAAGTTTGAAATATCTAACACCGTAATTGGTGGTTGTCGGAGTACTCTCAGAGGTTGCGAATCTTGCCTCTAAGTATGACTGCTCAAACATTTGTACTTTCCCAGATATGACGTTTTATCTGTTTTTTTCAAAAGTTTTATAGAAAGTTTAAATTTTAAAAAAAAATGATAATTCCTAAGCCTGTAGTTGGGGGATGTCAGAGTACTCTCTTAGGTTGCAAATCCAAATATGACTAGCCAAACTTTTCTATTTCTGAAAAATGACGTTTTTAATGGTTTTTCAAAAAGGTTTTTAAACTACTGTGAGAGTACTTTCAGAAGTTAGACATTTTGCACTGCAATGCGACTGTTCATTTGATTTGAGCTTCCGCGATGTGGCGTTTTGATGTCATTATGGTTTTTCGAAGTATTAAAAAAAACACTTGAGTAAAAAATTTTCCAAAATTTGAAATTACGTTTCCTGTAGTTGGGTGCTATCAGAGTGCACAAAGGATTCAGATATTATTTTTAACATCTGCGATTTTCATTTATAATGTGTTAAAAACTCCAATCACCCATGGTGCGTTACATGCTAGTCTTTCTTTACTTAGCCCATGTTGGGCAGGTTTTGCTCATCCGTCTCCAGGCTAAGGAATTTCGCTACTTCAACCGGCCTTAACCGCAGGTCTGCGGGAGTAAAAGGGGGGATTTTTGTGGAAGTGATAAATGTGGCAACAAGTCTGGGCGACAAGAGACGGTTATCTAAGTGGGAAACTTGGTTGTCTAAGCGGGCGAGGTAAGTGTTTAAAAGTCGAGTAAGTGTTTAACAGCTGGTGTTTCTGGGAATGGACTGCAGGGGGTTGATGCTTGGAGTTGGAATACAAATGACTTTTGAGGGAAGAATTTCTACTAAGAAATTGGTTACGAGGTTAGTGTGGTTTTTTTAGGAACTTGTGGTGGTTTAAGACGAAATTAAAAAAACTTCTTAGTAGTTGAGATTTAATGGCGGGTTTTGGTCTTGTCATTGCCATCGGTTTAGAGCAGAACGGGCATTCATTTCTGTCTCCTCGTGTGATTGCTGCTGCTGGTTGCTGGGCATTGCATTTCTTGGCGTGGTTTGTTAATTGCTGCCTTGTTTGCTATCATTTTGTTGCAGATTGCACATTTTTGCTTCCCGTCTCGACCGAGTTATTGCATTCTGGTAAGGTAGTTTTTGAGGCCAGTTATGTTCTTGCATCTTGGACAAGTAGTTGGTTTCTATGTAGCGTTCTACTGGTTCCTTTCGAAATTGTCTTGGCCTGCCTTTTTAAGCAAAATCCTTCAGAAACCAATAATGGTCTGTCGAGTTTTCCTTTGTTGATTTGCTGTTTTCTAATATGGCCAGCCGAGCAATGTTCTTTTAGTGAGCGTGTTCTTGTTTTGGTCTGTTAAAGAGAGTCTGTGTCGTCTGTAAAAGCACTTCGGTTGGATTGTCGAGCTTGACGTGGGGGAAGAGTGATTAAAATGATATGCGTGATGCGAGTGGTATGTGGGGCTTAAAAACTGATAAGTCAAGAGATTGGTGGTTTGGAACGTTCAGGATCTCGACTCCACTGAGCAGGTGGGCAGTGTAACTCAAGAGTTGGGCTAGTGATCACACAGAGGGCTTGATTTTGCGACATGCTCCTAGACCGTGGAGGCATAAGCTAAAGTAGGTTAAGTTAAGGCTTTGTTAATAAAAGTAGGGTTTCTTTAGACTGACCCCAAGAGGAACCTGCGAACGCCTTCAGAATCATATCCTGCGACGAGACTTGTCCGCAGATCTCTTGCCCTGAGCGGCAAAGCATAGGGTCGGGTAAAAAGTAAGCCCTAAAATTTTTTGGATTTTTTTGAGAAAGAGGGGCTTGTTTTTTAAAAGGAAAGTTTGAATTTTCTTAAAATTTTTCTTTAAAAGCAAGGTAATTGATTCTTTAGACTGTTGGCTCACGGGAGGTGGAAAAATTAAAAAGATGGTGCAGATAACAATATAGTGAGCACGATGCTTCCTCAACGTCGGGGCTTTGGGCTAAGGGGTGGAAATATTCAGCGTCGAAGTGAGGCAAACATTTTCGTGGAAAAAGGGGCGTCATGGACGTAAAAATTAAAAAGAGTTGGCGATTGGAAAACACAACAATGAACAATTCTAGGTGGGGATACAAGTTTGTTAAAAAGAATGGTGGCCTGTTGGCCACATATTTAGTTGCTCAACCTGCGAACCATAATTTTAGAGAAACCTGCTAACGCCTTCAGGATCCTATCGTGCGACGAGACTTGTCCGCAAAGATTAGATTTTATGCAGTGAGATCTGCGGACAAGTCTCGAATAATTGTCGTAATAGCTGGTTGTTGTGATGGCCATGAACACCAGATCCCTGAAGAGTTTCTCCCCAGCCGCATTTAAGAAAGGAATTCTCGCAACGAAGACACCCTCATCAATCACCTTCGTAAATTGCCGTCCTGAGAGTTTCAATATGTCAAAAGTGTATGTTGTTCGCGAGGCGTATTTCCATAAGTCAAGGGTGGTAGTCGGACCCTAGGCATTTGATTGAGGTCCAGAATGAGGGAAGTAAAAGGAACTGAAGTGTGCTAGGGAAATCTTTGGCGAGGAATGTTGTGCATTATATCAAACAGGTACTCATGTTTGGGTGTCGTGGTTCATTAGAGAATACTTGGCCAGTTTGATCTTCTTCGATATTCGAATTCCAGAAGGGGGGATGGGCGTTGGCGTTGCCCAGTACAAGAGCATCACCAGCAACCGGGAGATCAGTAAGGAATGCTGTATATTTGGGACGACAACTAGATCTAGGGTATGTAAAAGTTACTGATACGAAGTTTGACAAACTGGCTACCACTGAGATACTCAGTCTCTAGCGAACCCTCGGTATTTAAAGTAAATCCTTCGTACTGTATAGATTTCTGGATGGCAATGAAGAGGCCACCAACTTATTTGCTTCTGTTTTTACGGATGAGCGTGTATAAAGGACATGAGAATGGTTACGACTTTGTTTTCTCAACCTGGTTTCTTGCAATAGTGCTATATGTATTTGATTCTGGGCTATGAAAGCTGCTTTTCCGGGAGTTTTTCCAGATGCTCGATACAGTTAAATTGAAGTACTCTAAGGGTTTCTTTTTATCAGTTGATTGTTGGTTTCAAAAAGGAGTTAATGGCATTAGTCATTTGTGATATCTGGGAGTGAGTAGAGTGAGCCGGTATAGTGACCGGGAGAGTAAAAGTAACTTTGGTTCTGGAGGGAGGTAAAATGTACGTGTAGAGGTAGGTAATACATACGAAGTGCAGAGGGCCCAGTAAAATTCACGATGATGGACCTCTAAATTTTCACGGCCGCTGCATTTAAATTGTATCCTGCTACATATGTAATACCAGACACTTGCTTGATGACGGTGTATGTGTTGGTTGCCTGTGGAACAATTGTAAGGGCTAGGAGTTTGGATTAATGCCGCAGCGAAGGAGTAAAGGGAGTTTTAGCAACAGACGAAGCAGCCGGGCCGGCTTCAGATGCTCCATAACAGAAAACCCAGAGATCTCTTGAGCTTCCCCTGACACACGGTTACAAATCAAGTCGGAAAAAAAAATGTTTTAAATCTTCCTAGAATTGTCCTC